GGGGCTGGGCAGGGGCAGCCCCCGGTGCCGGGGGCGAGGAGCCGCGGCGGGTCCTGCCCTGGCACAGCGGGACCCTCCTCTGCCGCGGGGTCCGGCGGCCCTGCCTCCCCCGGCAAGGCGGGCGGGATGGGGCCCTCGCCCGTGGCACCTCCTCGGAGCACCTGCGGACAGCACTCCCCCCCCGGAGAAGGGACGAGTCGATGGAATCAAAGCAACTTCAGCCGCCCAAGTCAGGGGGGAGAAATAAAATCACGAGTACCTCCTGGGTTGTTTTCCGAGTGCGAATGGACAACACTGGCATCTACATCGGCAAACAATCGGAGGGTGTACGTTTATTGGAAGGAATTCATTTGAAATGTGCGGGACTGAAAGATGCGAAAAAACATTTCCCGGTCAGTTTTTCCCTCTGAAACTTAGTCATGTCAATAAAATATAAGTAAAGCGTAAAAGAAGGGCGCGAGAAAACACTTCAGCCCTTGACATACCTTCAAAAAATTGTTTTGAAATGTTGAGTAGATACTGAATAGTTGAATGGTTACTGGTCCGTCAACAGAAGCCCGAAATAAATTAATTCCCTTGCTGTAACGCCAACTAGCCTTTAAAAGAGCAATTCATTCGGTTTTAATTTTACAGTGATATTGTAGATAAAACGCTTGATTGCGATAACAATGCACCTTCTAATATTTCTTTTCTGTTATGATAAAACGGGGTCTAGGCATATATGTGTGACCATATGTGATTAATCACTCTGAAAAAATATTTTTAAACCAAAGACTCAATAAACATGTACTTTTCGCGTGCATTTTCGTGATGATTTTAATTCGCCAAGAAGCAAATTATCCTCACATAAACATGGGAGAGAAAGTTCTCTCGGGAGGCATATCGATGCATATTTTGTATATATTAACATACATATAATTAATATGTATTTGTTTCCAGGGGAGACAAGTGGAAATATACACAACACACAATGACCAGGCGAAAATCACACCACAATAGTGCACACAGAGTGACCGGGATACGGAATGTACACGTAAGTCCTCGCAAAACTCCCACGCTACAATATCGTGTTAGGAAATATAGGAGAATGGTTAATAGCTAAAATAAAAACGCAATTAGTTTGATTATTTAAATGTCAAGGGCGGTGCTGCAAAATGGGTCATTTTTTTTTTTCTCCTAATGCAAACCCAGGCTTCTCAGCTACTAGCAAATGAAGAGTAATAACTAAAAAAAAAAACCAACCCAACAACAAAAAAAAGCAACAAAAAACCCCCAGCAGATTGAACGTTTTCTGCGATTTGCAGTGTCGAAAAGTCTTTTTCAGCGGGAGAAAATCGAGGGAAGAGAAGAGTGGAAAACGGGAGGCGATAAGAAAAAAACCTGCCTTTGTTCTCTCTGGTTATTTTCTACTAATTATTCTGCCCATTGTGACAAAGTAGCAGTTAAGGATAGATTAGTGTAAATAACCTCTCATTTCACTCCCAAACCGTGCA